ACAATAGGTCTTCTGCAAGCTGAGGAGCCAGGAAGCCAGTATGAGTCCCCAAAACATCAAAAGTAGGGAAGTTGAGAGTGCAGCCTTCATTCTGTGGCTGAAGGTCCAAGAGCCCCTGGCAAATCACTGGTTTAAGTCCAAGAGTCCAAAAACTGAACAACTTGGAATCTGATGTTTGAGAGCAGGAATCATCCAGCTTGGGAGAAAGATGAAGTCCAGAAGACTTAGCCAGTCCTTCCACATTCTTCTGCTTTTATTCTACCCTTGCTGGCAGCTGATTAGATTGTGCTCACCCAGATTGAGAGTGGTCTGCCTTTCCCAGTCCACTGATTCAAATGTTAATCTCCTTTGGCAACACCATCATAGACACACCCAGGAACAGTAGTTTGCATCCTTCAGTCCAACCAAGTTGACACACAGTATTAACCGTCACACATTTCTGCCAACAATGTACATGCTTCCCTTTTCTCCACATTTTTATCAATGCTTGTTATCTTTTGTCTTTGTAGTATTAGCCAATGTAACAGTTGTGAAGTGATATCTTATTGTGGCTTTAATTTATATTTTTCTGATAATTAGCAATGATGAACATTTCTTCATTTGTATGCTTTCTCTTGAGAAATGTCTATTCAGGTCATTTGGCCATATGTTAATTGGGTTGTTTTCTTGATAATGAGTTGTTTGAGTTTCTTACATATTTTGGATATTAATCCTTTTTCAGATGTGTGGTTTGCAAATATTTTCTCCCATTTTGTGGCCTGTCTTTTTATTCTGTTTATTATTTCCTTTCCTTTCCTGTGCAGAAGCTTTTTAGTTTGATGTAATCCCACTTGTCTATTTTGGCTTTTGTTGCTTGTGCTTTTGCAGTAATATCTAAAAATTATTTGCCAAGACTAGTATTAAGAAACCTTTCCCCTATGTTTTCTAATAATATTTTTAAGATTTCAGGTCTTATGCTTATGTCTTTAATTCATTTTGAGTTGATTTTATGTTGTAAAATAGAAAAACCAAAATCCAACTATATTCTGACTATGGGAAAATCACTTTAGATTTTATATTTAGACACAAATATATTGAAAATAAAGTATGGGCCGGGCGTGGTGGCTCAAGCCTGTAATCCCAGCACTTTGGGAGGCCGAGACGGGCGGATCACGAGGTCAGGAGATCGAGACCATCCTGGCTAATACAGTGAAACCCCGTCTCTACTAAAAAATACAAAAAAATAGCCAGGTGAGGTGGCGGGCGCCTGTAGTCCCAGCTATAGGGAGGCTGAGGCAGGAGAATGGCACAAACCCGGGAGACGGAGCTTGCAGTGAGCTGCGATCCGGCCACTGCACTCCAGCCTGGGCGAAAGCGTAAGACTCCCTCTCAAAAAAAAAAAAAAAAAAAAAAAAAAGAAAATAAAGTATGGAAAAGCATATGTCATATAAGTAGTAACCATGAAAGCTTGAGTGGCTATATTAATATCAGAGAAATACATTTTAAAATACATTTTAAAGCAAAAATTATTATTAGAGAAAAAAACACTTCATAATGTTTAAAGTTTCAACCTATATATGTATATCAAATGCTATAAAAAATATATACAAAATATATATTCCTTCTATGTGTGTTTGTATGTGTGTATGTATTTTTTATATTTATTCACACATATATTTGTTCTTTAAGGTGCTTTTAATTTCTTACTATGGATTTTAGTTACTATCAATGTCATTTTCTCTCAGCCTGATGACTTCCTTTAATATTTCTTATAAGACAGGTCTGCTAACCACAAAGTTCTGTAGCCTTGCTTATCTGGGAATGTCTTTATTTCATTTTCATTTATAGAGGATAGTTCTGCTGGATATAGAATTTTGGGTGGAATTTTTTTTCCTTTCATTGCCTCTCCATTATCTTCTGATCTCCATTGTTTCTGATTTAAAGTCAGAAACAATGACTTCTGATTTAAAGTCGGGTTAATTGTATTGCTCTTCTCTTTCACATGATGAGTCATTTTTCTCTTGTTGAGAAAAAATACTGATTTCAATATATTATTTGTAGAATTTTGACTTTCTGAGATTTAACTATAATGTATCTAGACATAGATATCTTTGTGTTTACTCTGTTTGAGAGATGTAAGCTTCTAGGTTCTTTTGATTAATGTTGTTCAATAAATTTGAGAAGTTTGTGGCCATTTTCTTTTTATCTTTCTCTCACTTCTCTCTTTCTGAGACTCCAATTTTACATATGTGGGTATGCTTGATGGTATCCCACAAATCTCTAAGTTTAGTTACTTTTAGTGCAGAAACCATGTGCCTGTACAGCACTGTGGAGTAAGTCCTGGAGCCTGACTACAGAGTCCCAAAATACATAAAGTAAAAATGACAGAAATGAAACAAAAATAAACATATCAAAATTATAGTTGGTGATTTAAATCCTTCAGTCTGAAAAATTGATTACACCAACTAGACAGAAAGTAATTAAGGGTGAAAGAGACCTGAAAAACACTACTAAACTATTTGACTTAATTGATGATTTTAGAACACTATATTCAGCAACAGCAGAAAGTACAGTTTTCAAGTGCTCATAGAGTATTTCCCCATATAGATTATATATTAAATAATAACATACAGGTAAGAGGATTAAAATAACTCAAAGTATATTCTCTCATCACAGAGGGATTTAATTAGAAATAAACAACAGAAAGAAGCTGAAAAAATCACATATATTTGGAAATTAAACACCACACTCCTAAATAACTTGTGGGCTTCAGAAGGAATTTCTAGAGTAATTATGCTTTTAACTAAAAAACCAAAACTATATCAATGTACATGGAATGCAGCCATGATTAAAGGAAATGTATAGCTTTAAATAACTACATCAGGAAAACAACCACAAAAGTTTCCATCATAATCTAAACTTCTACCTGAAGACACTGGAAAAATAAAAGTCAACCAAAAGTAAACATAAGGAAGAAATAATAAAGATCAAATTAAAAATCAATTCAATAGAGAATAGAAAAACAATAGAGAAAATCAATGGAACTACAACCCGGTTACTTGAAATGCTATAAAATTGATAATGCTTTAGTCATACTGAACAAGATAAAAAGCAAGAAAATCAAAATTGCAACATCAGGAGTGAAAATGAAGAATACATTTACTAACCCTATAGAAATATATGGAAATGTTATGAACAACACTATGTCAATGAATTTGACAGCTTGGATGAAGCAGACATATTCCTAGAAAGACATAAGAGTAACTTGAGAAAAAAAGAAAGCCACACATCTGGATAAACATATTACAAGTAAAGAAGTATTTCAGAAAAATAACACCTTACAGAGCAGAGGTAGGCAAAATTTTTCTGTAAGGAGCTAGATAGTAAATATTTCGGGCCATATACAACCTCTGTCAGTTCTTTTTCTCCTATTCCTCCTCTTCCATCTTCTAACAGTTTAAAAGCATAAAATTTATTCTTAGTTCATGAGTCATACAAATATAGGCCACGGCTTGATTTTAACATGTGAGCAATAATTTGTGAGTCCATGTCATAGAGAAAAGCTCAGGACTAGCTGACTTTACTGGCAAATTCCATCAAATATTTAAATAATAATACCACTCCTACAAAAAATAACTTTCACAAAATAAAGAATAAGATTATTCCTAAATTTATCCCAGTTCAGTCCACAATTTCCTAATCCAGCCTAATAGGTCAGAATTACTTTGATACCAAATAAAAAGAAATCACAAGAAAACTACAAACTAGTATGTCTATGGTCTCCATAAAATATTAGCAAACCTCATTTAGCAATATGTGAAAAGATTACATAATTAGCAATATGTGAGAAGATTATATACTATGACGAAGTGGGATTTATCCCACCAGGTCAAGATTGGCTTGACATCCAAAATCAGAGACTCTGTGACTTTACTTTTTGGTAACCTCAAAACAGAGATTTCATATCTGAGCTCAGCACCCAAGGCCTCACAGCAGTCTATGCTTTTGTGAAATATCAATCAATCTATTCAAGGTCCCAGGGTCTGATCTCATGTGGATGGAGAACACTTCCCTGAGATTCAGCATATCCAAGACAGAAGAATCCTCTATCTGTAGGATAGTCTCCCAATGGTTAGGGTAGTCTCCAAAGAGATTTAGGACTGAATCCAGGGACATTGTTGAAGACTATTCTTTGCCAAATTTGGAGGCTTTTCTCTTCCTTAGGCCTCATGCAGATTTAGCTAAAATTAAATTTATTTAGAGGGAGATTAGTGAAAATAATCATTAATCACTTATTTCAAATGAAAATAAAAATGTATTCCAAGTTCAAAGTCATAGATTGAGGAACTAACGTCATCAGGTGCAGGACTGGGGTCAGGAAAGGGCAGGGACTTTGTGTGGCTGTGTATGAAGGAACAAGTTTAACACGAAGGAACCATGAACCAGAGATAAAGACAGCCTGTGCAGAAAGTCAGAGGATCCTTTTCCTGTTTCTTAGCTGACAAAGACTTTCTTCAGCTAGCCATAAGGCAACTGTCAAATATCATCACATTTATCTTGAAGGATAAAATTTGTGCAAGCTCAATTGAACAGCAACAACCTAGATGCAAGGAAGAAGTCAGCCAGGATGACTGCAGGGCTGGGTCATTTCTCAGCTTGTCAGAGACTGAGCCAGAGATAGTCTTTAGTCCAGATTGTTACTTAAATCACACTGGTCCCTCAAGGCTGAAGAGTCTGGGACGATTTGCAGGGGTTTCTGTAGTTTAAGATGAGGTTTCTGAAGGCAAGATGTCCTCACCTTAGAGGCGACCCTTTCTGTGCAGAGTGTCGGTATCCATGTAGCACTGTGTATTCACTGCTGGCACAGAGGTACTGAGAGGTGTGTGAGGGGCTGGCGGACTCCAGGGTCAGGGGAAAATGCTCTATCCTTATTCTGGAGACTGTTGACTCAGAGGAAAAATCTCCCCTCTCTGTGGAATTAACTCCATAGGAATAGTGGATGAGGTGTAATTCCATTCCTGGATCTTGTTGATACCAGTACATTTTGTCATGGCCCATGGTTTGAGAACATTCCAGAGTGATCTTCTTTCCTGTCCCTATAACACAGTGTCTTGGGTTCTGGTAGATATCAGCTTCCATAAGGCCTATGGGAAGAAACAGAAATTGGCAACAGAGTTCACAATGAACTTTGATGCTGAGCCAGGCACAAACCCAACACAGAGGAAGTGTTCCTTCTAGATTTTGGAAGGAACTGTGTCTATGACTTACCTGCCCCCAGAAAATAAAAGGCCATGTGGCAGAGGAGCCTGATAGTCATGGCACACAGTTGGGGCTGGAGAGGATGTCTCTCAGGAGTGGGGAAGCAGGATGGACTCTTGATAAAGTCATTGTGTGTGTGTGATGACACAGCCCTTGCAAACTTCCTGGGTCCCACAGCCATCCTATTGAAACAGTTTCATCTATCTATATCCTTTTAACCCATCAAATGACTAATATTTTTTTCACTTCCCTCATCCAAAGTATGCTTGATGCTTTGCTAATCTTAACTCAAGTCTTTAATATTCTTACAAAACATTCTATTGCAACTGTTTTATAAGCTATGAACATAAAAACTACATAGCTTTGAATGCCTATAATAGCGGGATTTTACCTGATTAAAAAGGTTGGGAAAGGAAGTGGCATTTGAGTTAAGTTCTGAAGGATGAACAGGAATGAACTCTGCAAACCCGAGAGAGAAGAACATGCAGAAGAGGGAACCAGTGAACATCGTGACTTGATCAGACAAGGAATAGGAGAACTTGTGAGCATTAATTGGGGCAATCTGTTTATACAGACACATGTAAAGAGCTTGGAGCAGTAACTAGAATTCATTGAGTCCTCAGAAAATATGGTGTTATTGTTGTGTGATAATAACTTTCTCAGTCTCATTTTTCACTGACTTGGTATTCAGGCTTTATCAGCTTAATCAGCTGAGCCTTTGCCTAGGATGATTTTAGTCCATCTGCCTTTTAATTGCACTATCAATCATGACAGAACAGAAACTACAATCCAATACATGCTTTGGTAATATTGCTAAAAATTGTTTGGGTGCTGCTGCAGTAAACAATGTCTAAACCAAGTGTCATTCTCCATCCGCCCTTTCCCCCATTTCTTCTTAACAGAAAAGTCTTTGGTTTTGATTGTGAGATACAAAGATTAATCCCAGAATTTCTCCCAGCTTTGTCCACTTCCTTTGCCCTAGTTCACTGAGATCTACTGTTGGTATTTACTAAAATTTTTGTTCACATGATGCTGATATGGGGTTTGGGTTTTTACGATTATATCTCTAGTGTTTGAACACCATGTCTTCAAGTCTGTATGTATTTACATGTAACACTTGTGGGCCCCTGCTTACTCTTCCTCTGTCATGTGTCATGAAGGAATATAACAGTTTTGATTTACCAAACCCTGAAATACTCTATCCTATCAGGGGCTCCTTTAAGATAAAAGTAATCATTAAAATCATTCATGAGATTTGGCCTTAGACTTTACTATGAAATCTGGTCTTAATAGTAAGTGCTGAGAACAGAAAAAATAAATTGAATTTTACTGCCCCCTGCTGAAAAAAAGGTGTTAGAGGTTTGGGGAGATTCTGACAAATTTTAAAGAAACAGGAAAGAGGGAGGCTCCCAGTTGTTTTCAGTGTGAGATGACTTAAGGATGAGTGATGAGTTGATGAAAGTCTTCGGCAGTGACTGGATGTAAAATCTATACCTCACAGTAGAAGTAACTAAGAAAGGAAAGAAGAGAAGTGCTCAACCTGGGTTTGGAAGTAGATATGAGAGTCTCAGGCCCTAGTCAGATGAAGGGGTATTCGAAGGCAGAGGTAACTATCCACTCCTTGCTGCCCAGTGCAGGAATAACTCATGCATAGCTTGCCTTTTATTGATGAAAATACTTTCCCCAAGGACTACCATTCTGGTTTAGGTAGGGAAGTCCCTGGAGAAGGTGCTGGGAATTGCTAAGTGTGAATTACAAAGACAAACATTATTATATATAATTCTTGTATGTATCTCTATACATTTTTGTTCTAGTAAAACACCCTTTCTCAATGGAGACTTCTTGATTCTCAGGACTTTGTAGTCCTTCCAGTGTCCATGAAGTTTGCATAGGGAAGAGATACCAAGAAACACAAGAGACAAAATGCAGTCTTAATATTCATCTAGGAGGGAAAGATCTGGAACCAGAATGTGGCCATGCTAAATTAGGACTTCATATTATGGCAAAGGACTCACCTGTCTTCAGACAAGGCAGGAGGGAGAAAGGCCGAGGGTTCTGGTTTCTCAAATACTGATAAATATCTCCTAGCCAAACAATTTTTAGCTCAGGGCTCTGGGACCACATGGAAGTAGGATTACCTCTGAAGTTTCACTTCCCATGCCAAAAATAGCCTGTACCATAACAGTTCCTGTTTTCACAGAATAGAGTTGATTCCAGAGAATCACAAACACTGACTATAGGGCATGTATGTTGAGCTTTTATGCAGTGTCTTATGTCTGAATCCCACAGCAAGCGTTTTTTATGAGCTTCAGCACCATGTTCTCAACCCAGTGTTCCCTCTGTATTCATGGGGGATTAGTTAAAATCCACTGATGCTCAAATCTCTTATATAAAATGGCATAGTATTTGCATACAACTGAGGCACATCCTCCTGTATACTTTAAATCAACTCTAGATTAATTTTAATAACTAATACAATGTAAATGCCACATAAATAGTTTGTATATCTCACTGTTTCAAATTTTGTATTTTTATTGTTGTGTTATTTTGTAATTTTTAAAATATATTTTTCATCTGAGGTTGACTAAATCTACAAATGAGGACCCCATTGATACAGAGTGTCAACTGTGTACTCTATCAGCATTTGGAAGTTCCAAAGGCCCTCAAATACAGCATATATAATTCATTCCCCTCCTTCCTTCTAACTCTGCTTCTTTGCCTATAATAATAAAACTAGGACTCCAGGTATAAACTTAACTTGTTAAATATTCTAATTAGAATATATTATAGACTCACTTCAATATATGAGTATATAAATTTGTGTTAACAATTAAAACAGAATATTTCATATATTTTCATATATACATTATTCTTTGCATGTCTTCTTTCTCAAAACTCAGATTCCATTAAGAAAAACAGCTTTGATTTCCCCGAATATTCTCCCATGTATGTTTCAGATTATGTCACTTCACCCTAGTTCTCAATCATGTATTACCATCAGATATTAATATCAGAAAATAATTGTTACATAAGTCTGTATACATTTTTTTTGTCCAGTAAAACCCCCTCTCTCATTTCCGGCCTTCTCTTAACCAAACATAATTTCTTTGTTTTAAAGAGACTTGTAGATGGGAGGTGTGGAGGACTTAAATACACATGTACCAGACCTGGATCGCTACAGTCTGAACTCAGATCAGGTAGGACTTTAATCATTGAACATACGAACCATTGATAGCAGTTACATCATTAGGATGTCCTGATCTAACATCGAGGTCATAAACCCTATTGTTGATATGGACTCTAGAATAGGACTGTGCCATTTTCCCTGGGGTAATTTGTTCTGTTGATCAAATTGTTGGGTCAATATATGTATGGTAATTCACTTAAACTGGTTTAGTATCTTAGCATAGGTTGCTCGAAGGTTAAATTATGCTCCGAGGTCACCCCAAGCAAAATTTTTAATGCAGGGACAGTAGTTTAAGGCCTGTGGGCTTATTTAAGCTTTGCTTGCATTAATAAATTAAAGCTCCATAGGGTCTTCTCGTCTTATTTATTCATGTATGCCTCTTCCTGGGCAGGTCAGTTTTACTGGTTGGAAGTAAGAGACAGCTGAACCCTCATGGGGCCATTCATACAAGTCCCTATTTAAGGAACAAGTGATTATGCTACCTTTGCACGGTCAGGGTACCACGGCCGTTGAACATATGTCACTGGGCAGGTGGTGCCTCTAATACTAATAATGCTAGAGGTGATGTTTTGGTAAACAGGCAGGGTAAAATTTGCTGAGTTCCTTTTCCTTTTTTCAACCTTTCCTTAGAGCATGCTTGTGTTGGATTAACAGTATAGGTAATAATAAATTTGTTGAGTTGTTTATTAATATTAGGCTGTTAATTGTCAGTGGGTTATTCTGGTCTGATGTAGGCTTATGCAGTGGAGAATATTTCATGTTACTTATATTAATATTATTGCTTCTATAAAATAATAGATTAGTCCAATATGGTGTTAGGAGTTCAGTGGTGTGATTGGAATTTAGAGTGGTTGGATGTTAAGCTTGAACACTGTAATTGATGGCTGCTTTTGGGCCGACTATGGGGATAATGCTTTTTACTCTCTACGTGAAGGTTGTTTCCGAATGTCTAAAGAGCTGTCCCTCTTTAGACTAACAGTTAAATTTACAGGGGGATTGAGTGGCTCTGTAGGTAAATTTAAAGTTGAACTAAGATTCTGTCTTGGACAACTGGCTATCACCAGGCTCAGCAGGCTTATCACCACTACTCATGAATCTCCCTACTATTTTACTACATAGATGGTGTGCTCTTTTAGCTGTTCTTAGGTAGCTCGTCTGGTTTTGGGGGCCTTGACTTTGGTTCTCTATGTAAAGTTATTTCTAGTGAATTCATTATGCAGAAGGCATAAGGGCCTATCTTTGCTATTTTATGCTTGGTTAACTTTTTCATGTTTACCTTACGGTACTATGTCTATTGTGCCAGGGTAAAATTTCTATCACCTATACTTTTGTTTGGGTAAATGGTTTGAGTAAGGTTATTTGATAGTACTAGTATTAGTCAAGTTTAGGGCTAGAGTTGGCTCAAGGTGGTCAAATTATGGTGAAATTTTCTGGGTATAAGTCAGATGCTTTGTGTTAAGCTGCACCTTGTTTCATCCAAGTGCACTTTCCAGTATACTTACGATGTTATGACTTGTCTCCTCTATATAAATATGTAGGGGTTTTAGTTAAACTAATCTCTAAAGTAATATTTGAGGAGGGTGACGGGCAGTGTGTGCATGCTTTATGACCTCATTCAATTAAGCGCTCTGCTCTTAATATACTGCTAAATCCTCCTTGAGCCCTTAGATTCCATAAGGGTTGTCGTGAGATTTTCTGGGTGTAGAAAATGTAGCCCATTTCTTACCACCCCATGGGCTACACCTTGACCTAACGTTTTTGCGTAGATACTTGTGCTTACTTTGCGGCCTTTACTAGTGTTTGCTGAAGATGATGGTATATAGGCTGAGCAAAATGTGGTAAGGTAAATCAGGGTTTATCCATTATAGAACAGGCTCCTTTAGAGGGATATAAAGTACCGTCAAGTCCTTTGAGTTTTAAGCTATTGATTGTAGTGTTCTGGCAAATAGTTTTGTTGATTTAACTATTGGAGTTTAGGGCTAAGCATAGTGGGGTATCTAATCCCAGTTTGGGTCTTAGCTATTGTGTCTTCAGAAGTATTAAAGTGTCCTATTTCAGCTAGGGTTTTTTACAGCTTAGATGAAGCTGAGCTTTATTAAGAATAGATCTAAAACACCCTTTATGCTGAGTTCTATTAGTTCGGCCACAGAAGCTGGCATGAAATTAACCAACTCTGGATATTAGTATAGTTTAAACTTTTGTTTATTGCTAAAGGTCTATCACTGCTGTTTCCCATGGGGGTGTGACTGAGCAAAGTGTGTTGAGCTGCATTTGTGCGTGCTTGATACTTACTCCTTTTGATCAGGGTGATTTAGAGGGTACTTTCACTGGGATGGGGATGCTTGCATGTGTAATCTTACTAAGAGTTAATAGAAAGGCCAGGACTAAACCTGTCTATTTATGGGGCCATATAAGCCCATCTAGACATTTTCAGTGTCTTGCTTTAAATAATTAAGCTACATTAACTGTATAAATGTTAAGAGTAAAATTGGAGTATAGAAGAAGATACAGGCAATATTCACAGTTGTAGGATTCAGGGATTTAAAGTTGAGTTAGCACGAGTTGGTGGAGTAGATGTTAGTAATGGTGAGTGGTTGGTGTAGTACAAGGTAACAGATGATGCCTTTTGGGGTGTATAAATTTAGGGTATGGGCTTAGTAACGGATGGGCGTGCATATTAGATATAATTGTTGTAAAAGTAGAATTAGATTGGTGGGGGGTTAGTTTCCTAAAAAAATTCGCATTAGTTGAGGGGTAGCTGTTGGGGATACCCAAAGCTAAAATATAAATATTTTGGGCACTGGCAGTGTTGAATTAAGGCTTTCTTGTTTTGGGGGTTTGGCAAGGTGTCTCTTCCTGGGTTGATGAAGTCAGAGACAGGGGAGGGTGAGTTGCAGATTTTTATTTTAAAAGTCCAATAAGGGGAACAGCTGTGTGTGCTTGTCTGTTAATTACTGTTACGTCCTTCAAGCATGAATTAATTAGCACCTTAGGGTGGTTGTGCCCGGTCGGAATATTGAATTTAGGTGTGATTAATATAGGTGATTGGTAGGACTCAAACACAGGTCCAGCTGCAGGTGATGGGGAGAGGACCAGGCCTTCCACGATGCTGAGTGATAGCATACCTGAAAGTTAAAATACCAAATGCATGGCAGTGCTCCCATGACTGGTTAATAGGGTGATAGTCACTGGTCCATCGAGATGTCTACTCTTAACTAAAGAATATATAACCTTGTGAAGAGCCAGTATGGAAAGAAAACCAGCACAAGACAAAGATAACCTCTTTTGCCACTCCTATTCAACATAGTACTGGGAGTCCTGGTCAGGGCAATCAGGCAGAAGGAAGAAATAGACATCCAAATAGGAAGAGAGGAAGTCAAACTATCCCTATTTGCAGATGACATGATTCTATATCTAGAAAACCCCATAGTCTCTGCCCAAAAGCTCCTTGATCTGATAAACAACTTCAGCAGTTTTAAAATACAAAATCAACATTAAAAAAGTGGCATTCCAATACACAAAAAACATACAAGCTAAGAGCCAAAACATACAAGCTAAGAGCCAAATCCATTCATAATTGCCACACACAACAAATATCTAAGAATACAGCTAACCAGAGAAGTGAAAGATCTCTACAACAGGAATTACAAAACACTGCTCAAAGAAATCAGAGATGGCACAAACAAATCGAAAAACATTCTATGCACATGGATAGGAAGAACCAATATCATTAAAATGGTCATACTGGCCAAAGCAATATAGATTCGATGGTATTCCATTGGTGCAAAAGTAATTGCGATTTTGGTGAATTTTAAATCATAACTAGGCTCAAGCACATCTTTAATAATCAAAATTACAATCAATACATTTTTTGCCAATGAGAAATAAGTTTGTTTATTCCTGTGGCATAAAAATCTATGCTTTGGAATTCAACGAACTCTTGGAAAGCATTTCTGCATCTTGCTGGCTATGGAAGCATTTTCCTTGCAAAAAGACTTTTACATCAAGTTCTGGCAGTCCTTGATCAATTATTTTTGTGGCTGGGCCTCCCTGGCTCCTAAAAGAATCCCCACTGCAGGGGAACCAGGGGACTATTCCAGTGCCTGGAAAGAAAAGGGGCATCTCCAAGCTCCTAGCTTTGACCTCATACTAGGGACAGGGAATTTTATTTTTTGAAATTCAGTGCATCCAGATAATAATGGCAGTCTATCTGCACCTGCAGGTTAAACATGAATCTCAGCAGAGATCAAAGCGTGGGGTAGTAGATAAAAAATTACTTTTGTAAATCATAGTCTCTGATACTTTAACTTCTGAGTCAGATTTAATGATAATTAAATTTACTTACAGTGAAGTTGTAGAAAACAGGCTCGTTATTTTGTTTTTAGTAGAAAGGTAACCAAATATAGAGCTCAAAGGTAACCAAATATAAGCTTGGAAGAACTGGGGCAGAGAAAGGTTAGACAGGATAAAGGAGCTGTCAGTGGGAACAGAACAAAGTGTGGGATGTTGCAAAGTGGGTGGAGAGAATGGCAAAGGGACTATAAAATCCACATTGTATTGAGCTTATAAGAAATGCTATTGAAAATCATGAGCTTCTGTCAAGTGCTCAAGTTCATTCTCCTGAAAGGTCACCAATGGGCTAGCTCCCTAGGAAAAATTAAATAGGGGAGATTGATTTAGTGTAGCCTGTGGCTTCAGAGTCATCACATGGCTTAGGGACATTGATCGAAAGTGGCCCTTAGCTTACACTGAGGTTCACACTGCCTAAGACCACTGAAAGCTCTAAACATCCCACATCCCACAACCCACATGCAGGTACCCTTCAGAGCAAACAACTCACCCATGTGTCTGTCTTTCTGTGTAGACAGCAGGTGGCCAAGAAGCACTGTGCAAATCACTGGTGGCACAGAAGTAAAGAGCTATCTGGTTGGGGGTGGCAGACTCTAGGGACAGGGAGAATTTAGCCTGTTCCTGTCGAGAGACATTGTATCCATCGGAGATCTCTCCTTTGTTTATATCTTTGACATCAAAAGAGTAATAGATCAACCGTAGCCCCAGTCCTGGGTCTTGTCGATACCAGTACATTCGATCATGACCCTTAGTCTGAGAACATTCCAGCATAATCCTCTTTCCTGTCTTTGCGATCTTATTCCTTGGGGTCTGGGTAACATCAGCATCCATGGACCCTGTGGGGAAATAAGACAGAAACTGAAGACAGAGACTGGCAAATGTCCTCGTGCTGCAATCTCTAGGGATAGGCTTAATCCAGAACCTGGAAAATTTAAGGCAGTGATTTCCCCATCTGTTTCCCAAACTCACCTGTTCCCAGGAGACAAAAGGCCACACAGAAGAGGAGCAGGGAGGCCATGGCATGAAGAGGAAGGATGGAGGTGTTTCAAGCTCTGGATGTTGAAGGAAGCAGGGCATGGAAATAGAAAACTGGGAGGATTCATAAGTGATGTCATTGTCCCTCCCAAGGTACTGGGTCTTAAAGAAAGATGTCATGTTGGCTTATGTATTATATGTTCTTAGCAGATGCTGAAATTCTTCTACTTGCTTCTCTTCTTTTTCTGGTGCTTTACTGACAACCACCAGAGAGTTATATCTCTCTCCTTTCTCAGGGCATATCTATTTCAGTTGTTCAAGGAGACATCATCCTCCTGAAAAAACAGGCTGGAGAAAATTCAAAACCAAATTGAATTTTGAATAAAGGGAGTCTAGTCTCACTTGAATGATAGGACGATACAACTCTTCTCCTTTTTTTCTGCATTTAATCATTTATTCTAACTCAGTTCTTGGTTTATGCAATTTGAATACATTCTTTGTAAAGTTTGAGACTTTTTTGTTTTAAGAAGGACAGGATTCCTAACTTTGTTTCAAATTGCTCCTATTTTTTAGTAGCTCCTGCTTTTCTGGTCAATGTTTTCTGGGCACAGAACTTTATTAAAAATATTGGTTTATTGTAGAAACGTGTTAGTTAAATGTGAGTATGTGCTTCAAAGAAGTATTTAACACTTTCATTCCTGTTTTGAATTAGCTGGATATGCAGTGGTTCATTAAAGAATTCATTTTATTCTACCACAAATTATTCCTGACTTTAGGAGGAAAGAGTTTAATATTTAATACAGCAGATTGCAAGTGCAGAATAGTTATAGTGATAGTGTGAAACAGTGACCGATGTAACAGACAACTGGCTCTTTGCTGCTTCAGATCTGTGCTTGTCCTTGTGAAAAAGGAGAGTTCCCTGACCCCCCTGAAAGGACGTGCGGCAGGAGTGTTGCTCACCTCTTCAGTTGCTGCAGCTGCTCAAACCCCTGAGGGGAAAGAGAGCATGCAGATAGACAGATGCAGGAGCCCAAGTGGGCAGATAGTTCTGCCATCTGTGCACGGCTTGAGTGTTAACCAGCTCAGTGGACCCTCTGCCTTTCTGCAAAGGCAGAGGGCCAGTGTGACAGCTCTCTGTATCCCGAGCTCTTGCCCAGCATCCTGGAAGAATTGGGTCACACATGGGCTTGAAGGATGAATGTGGGGTTTTACCGAGTGGTGGTGGTGGCTCTCAGTAGGATGTATGGGGAGCTGGAAGCGGGGGATGGAGTGAAAAGATGATCTTCCCCTTGGAGTTTGGCCATCTAGGGACTGAACTCTTCTCTGGCAGCCCCCAGTTGAACTCCTCTCGGGGTTCAGACGTTCCTCCTCTTTTTCTCTGCCATGTCGTTCTGCCCTCCCTCTGCTTGTCTCCTAACCTGCTTGTCTGCCTCTGAAGCCTGCGGGTTGGAGTTTATATGGGTACAAGAAAGGGGACATGGTGGATCAAAAGACAACTTTTTGGGGATGAAAACAGGAATGCCTGTCCCCATTTACAGCTGCAGGTCACCAGACTTGAGGGTGGGGCCTTTGCTGAGAAACCACCCTCTTCTACCCAGTATTTTTGTCTCCTGCCCATATCACTGGCTCTCCCTCATGCATGGGTACACCATGGCATCCTACCCTACTCATTCCTGCTGCATGTCAAATTGGTGAAGTCTTATTTTTAGATATTTTTACTTTTAATTCTAAAAATTTCAAACATTTACAAAGTAGGCTTAATAAAATGATGAGCCTTTGTGTCCTCACATGAGTCATCTTCAGTAATTATCGACTCCTCATGGGCTCTCTTGTTCATCTACCACCTCCTTCACCACTTTTGCGTCTCCTGTGTAATTTTGAATAGTTGTTGCTTTACTTAGGAGTACCCAAGCACATTTTACAGTGATTGCCTACACTCCCGATAACATATTCCAGTGTCCCCTCCCTTCTTCTCTTTCTGGTTAAAGTTCTCCATTAGCAATATGAATAAAAATGTGGATTTGTTCCAGTAAACTGCTTAGCCAGGGGTCTGATGAATATAAACAAGACAATGATCATAAGAACTTTTATTTGGGGTTTGTCTTCAATGTAAAAAAAAAAAAAAAATCATTGCCCTTATTTGCAATTCTTAAAGTAAAGATGCTGTTTTGGTGCCCTCTGCTGTGGGCAGTAATTTGAGTGGAATTAATAATTGGGAGCTGAATATTAACTATTCTTGGTGATCACGTTAGTCGAGAGAAAAGAGAACTGATATCCAGTGGTTGAGAGACCGTTTTCCTGGGCATTTCTGACAGAAGTTTGTAGGTGCAGAGCAAGGAAAGAAGAAGCAGAAATCATTCTGGGAGCAGAATCTATGCCCGAGGGGGAGTGAGTGAGCATTATCAGAGGAATGAATGGAGGAGACACACATTCGCACGGAAATGAAATTGAAAAAGGCATCCCAATTTCTGGAAAAACAAGAGGGTTCTTCATGGCACAGGCCAATATATTCTCTACTCTGGGCTGGCTCATGCACCTCTCAAATCGTGTTTATAATCCACATTTGCTCTGACCTATACTCTACCACAGGCAGGACACAGACTTCTTGGTCTTACCTACAGACCATGTCCATCTGTGTGCTGTGTGTATGCACATGATTCTAAGTACTGTTGAACCCCTCATTCCATGTGTGAGTTATTGATCTGTATAACGCACATCCTCTGGCTTTATAAAAGGCTGCCAAAGGATAAGTAATTTTATTTCTTTACTACTGCGTAGAGTTTTTGGTGTCCTAAGAGAATTTTGCCTGCTCTCGACTCACAAAGATGTTTTTCTATGTTTTCTTCTAGAATATTTGTGGTTTCAGCTTTTATAATTATGTCTATGAAACATCTCAGTTTAATTTTCATTTATGGTGGTAGGTGACAGTAAAGGTTTGTTTTTTCCATATGATTATCCAGTTTTTTCCAACATACTTGTTGAAAATTACCATCTTAATGCATTGAAATTTCCAATCCATAAACATGATCTCTCTCTCCATTTAAAAATATTTTCTTTAGTTTCCCTTTGTGGAGTTTTGTAGTTTTTAGTTGAACATCTATGCTAAATTGTTCTTAAGTAATTTGTTATTGGTACTATTGTAAATGGTATTATTTTCTGAAGTTTGTGTTTCAATTGTTTTCAACTAGTAAAAAAAAAAAACTTGATTTTTAAAACACTGATGTGTGCTGTGATATTGGTAAATTCACTAATTATTTATAGTTGTTGTTCCTTGATTTCTTATGATTTTCTACGTAAACAGTCATGTAATCTGCAAATAATTGGACTTCTTCCTTTTCAATGTTTAAAACTTTTATTTTTGTTGCTTTATCATGCTGATTAAGATCTCCAATATAATATTGAATAAAAATAGTGAGCAGCTTAGCACAAGCATTTATTAAGCCCAAGAATTCAAGTCCCACCTGGGGAATATAGTGAGACCTCATCTATAATTAAAATAAAGTAAAAAGTAATGAGAAAACTTCATGGCTTGTGTCTGTGGGGAAAAGAGAGATCAGACTGTTACTGTGTCTATACAGAAAAAAGTAGACATAAGAGACTCCATTTTGTTCTGTATTTGAGATGCTGTTAATCTGTGACCCTACCCCCAACCTTGTCCTTGCAAGAGACATGTGCTGTGGTGACTCAAGGTTTAATGGATTTGGGGTTGTGCAGGGTGTGCTTTGTTAAACAAGTGCCTGAAGGCAGTATGCTTGTGAAAAGTCATCACTATTCTCTTAATCTCAAGTACCCAGGGACACATACACTGTGGAAGTCACAGGGACCTCTGCCTAGGAAAGCTAGATATTGTCCAAGGTTTCTCCCCATGTGATAGTCTGAAATATGGCCTCGCGGGAAGGGAAAGACCTGATTGTCCCCTACCCTGACACCTGTGCTGAGGAGGACTAGTATAAAAGGAAAGAAGGCCTCTTGGCAGTTGAGATAGAGAAAAGTATCTGTCTCCTGCCCGTCCCTGGGCAATGGAACTTCTGATTTTATGTTCTATTTACTGAGATAGGAGAAAACCGCCTTAGGGCTGAAGATGGGACATGCTAGTGCAGTGCTGCTCTTCATGCACTAAAAACATTTATGGAGATGTTTGCATATGCATATCAAGGCACAGCACTTCTCCTTAAACTTATTCATGTCACAGAGATCTTTATTAATATGTCTTACTGCTGACCTTCTCCCTACGATGATCCTATTATCCTGCTACTTCCCTTTTCCAAGATGGTAAAGATAATGATCAATAAATACTAAGGGAACTGAGAGACCGGTGCCGGCGCGGGTCCTCTGTATGCTGAGCACCGGTCCCCTGGGCCCACTTTTTCTTTCTCTATACTTTGTCTCTGTGTCTCATTTCTTTTCTCAAGTCTCTCGTTCCACCTAACGAGAAACGCCCACAGGTGTGGAGGGGCAGGCCACCCCTTCAGTGTCTTATTATGTTATAGGAGGAAAGTGCTCAACACACTATTAAATCAGATGTTATTTGTAAATTTTTCATTTATAACTTTAATCAGATTAAGATAACGGTCTTACTAGTTTACTGATAGTGTGTCTTTTGGATAAGTATTGATTTTGTCAAAGGTTTCTCCGAATCTATTGAGAGGGTCAAGTGATTATTCTTTATTATTCTGATATAGTGAAATATATTGATTTTGGAAGCTAAACCACTGTTTTTCCTGCAATAAACTCACTTGGTCATGTTGTAGAATTGTTCACATACACACATATATATATATGCACACAAATATGTATGTATATTCATATTTGGATTTATGTATTATTTATTTTTGATCCAAAAGTATATTTTCTATTTTTTGAAGAAAGTTAATTTTTGGAAGCTTTTGCTCATCAAAATTTGAGTGAATTATCTAGTTACCTCCCTCCCACAATAGATGTACTTTATAGCAACTCTATTTTTTTTTATTTCTGGGGTACGTGTGCAGGATGTGCAGGTTTGTTACATAGGGAAACGTGTGCAGGCAGGCTGAGTCCGAAAAGAGGGTCAGCAAAGGGAGATAAGAGTGGCGCCGTTTTATAGGATTTGGGTAGTTA